GATATGCATGTAATTGTCTTGCGTATATGCTTATATGCTTCAACCATTGATCCTTGCGTTTTGTGTTCCTACGCAATCTCACCTGCATAAAAGTCTTTCAGTATCCACTCAACTGAAGTAAATCGCGGACACACTTCTCCATGTTAATTTAGAATCTGCCTTTTTAATTAATCCACAATTGATTAACCATTCTGCATTGCGCTGGCAGCATTTTCACGAGATTTATCCGTGATCTTGGTTTTTCGTAAACCGAGTAAGCTAATTTAGATGTTAAAGAGTCGCTTTTAGAAACGTGAAAGAATTTTGGGGGAGGGCATTGTCCACCAAATTTTGGCATTTCAATGAAAGATGATTAGTTTTCTACCGACAAAGTGAAACAAAGATTTGACCTGTTCTCAGTGAAGACTATCATTTCTTTCGCACCTATGCAACGGTTCCTTTCGTTCATACCAACTGACAGAGTTGTTGGTTTGTAGACGTCATTGCACAAGGAAGAAACCCATTCTACGGTTTTAATGATTGCAGCCTGATCAGGCAGGATGTTTCCGTGTAAAACCAGTTTGGCTTTCATTGAAAAGACGTGCATTTAGATTGGGAGAGTTCCTTAAGCCTTGAAGATGATTGCATCACCCATTCGATTCAATACTTTTCACGCTTTCCTGTGCAGATCGAGAGGGAAGGGAACTTTTAGTCGATTAGCGTTGAGATGATTGCGCAGTGGGATGGATGGTCAGTAGTTGGAAAATCTGTTATGATGACTTTGCCACCATTCGCATTTATCCTCTTGTCTCATAACTTTGCCATGACAGTACGCCAGCAAAGTGGAAACTAGATACTAGCTCATATTCCGACTTTGCAGAAATCACCGAGCTTTATGCAGTTACATTTAGCCATATATTTATCATCATATCGAAGTTGCAGTTATGACCTTTATTGAAATTTAGCTAACCGTACCCGAAGCTGGTGGCGCATCGGTGTTCCCTGATCAAGGTCTATCACTGCATCCCAAAGCGGTAAGTGGTTTTACGGCAATGCACTTAAATAATTAGCCCGTAAATGCACAGTATTCGACCTCGTGTTTTAGATTTTTTTATCTGCTCTCGAACATATTTTACGGTTTCTTGAGAAGATACGCTCTGCCTGTTTTTAGTGAGTGTTATTGCTGTCCTCAGGGCTGTTTATTTTTATTTTTTAATATTTCAGTCACACTCAGTGAGCGAGTGACAAAAACATTAGTTCAACTTGAACCTCTACCAGAAATTAGGGAACAGCAGTGATGTTCGTAAAATGGTGGCTGTTTCTGGCAGGGTCGCATTCTGCAGTTGATTACCTTTGTCGCGTCATCAAATAATTTTACTGGGCCTGGTGGTGTCTTTTTAACCGATCACAGGGTACCAATCACCACCGCAAGAACGATTTCGGCTTTTGCTCTCCCTTTTCTATTTGTATTTTTACCTGCAATTCTTGATGTTTCACTATCTTTCCTCTCCCTTTAATGACAACGTTGCTGTCAGCCAGACATGCTTTATCAGTGATCTACGCTCGCCTTTTCGTTATCCAGAAACGAAGCGATTTTTTTGCATTGAGCCCAACGATTTCCACATTTTTGGGGTTTGTTCCTTGCCACTATAGAAGGCTCTGGAAGGCATTGACATCTCTAAAGAAGTTCCTGTTTCTTTTGTATCGCTTGCAAATAGCAACTCTGACTGTTTTGGCTGGTTCAGTCCTGTTTTTTAAAACTGCATTAAAACGTTTATTTGTACACAACGCAAAAAAACACAAGTATTCAATCGGGTGATTGACCAGTACCGAGTTTTTGGCTTGTGTCTCACGAGCTCTTTCAGAATGGTCTGGGTTGATTTCTGCAGTTGGTTGTGTGGTCCGCATCATCCAAATCCTGTATTCTTTTCAAATTATATTCAATCGCTGTAGTTGCTTTACTTCCTGATGTAGTTTTTGCTGTGTGTTTGTGAATCTTCTTAACCATGCTGGCTCTTTTCTTTGTCTCAGATTTGTTTCCAGCTTAACGCAAAGTTTCGCATGAGCTATCGCATTCATCACACCGTTGATTGATTCCGAATTGCTGGTCAGCATCGTTAGCTTGATTGATATATTAACAAGGCATCTTCTTAACTGTGACAGGATGAATACGCCTTGGACGTTGTCCCAGCCGTTCAAACTTCGGAAGGATCTGTTTTCGAAGCGATTTCTCTTTGTCGCTCAATTTCTGTCACATCAGCCTTTTCATCTTTGACATCATCGGCTTGTCTGGGACGATTACAGTAATATATGGAGTTGGTTAATCCTCTTGCAAAGTGGTATAACTATGGGAAATTCTACTGATCTCATCTAGCTCCAATTCTAGATAGCATAATTCAGGTAGCAGCATCTTCTTTCAGGTGAGCTCGTTTGCATAATTCAGGGTGCAGATATTATTTTTGATGACTCCTGCTCTGCTTTACAACGATGTAATGGCACTTTATTACAGCCTTGTTTCCTTAACTAGACCAGTATTTGCGCACCTGGCGCAGAAACAGGTGAAACACATTGTTAACTCATTTATCACAATCTGTCTCTCAGTTCTCCAACAGTCTCGCTGTCCTTGGTACTCAGGTGTAGACCAATCCTTATATAGGAATGAGTAGATGATTGACCAACTTGGGTTGACCTGTAGCGTCTGACCTGTGCAGTATGGATGGTCCTACCAGAAGCTGAATCTTCCGCTTCCGTAGCTTCGAAGGTCGCTGAAGAACGTAAACCTATCAGCCACGTCGACACTGTGATCTCCGCAAGACTGATATTGTCATTCTGTAATAAATATTTTCCTGCCACGTTTACCTATATTCTCTAGTAATCGTTAAAATCAACAGCCAGGATTTTGTTAATTACGGTGCTGATCATGACCCTCGAGAAATAATTGATTCATTCTTCATCATGGTTTACTTATAATGGTCACTTTTGTGTTTGTCGTGTAGTTTTGGCATGTTTACGTGTTCATTTTCTCACGTAACGTTTAAGTTACCATTAATTTGGGTGACAGACATGGCGATAAGGAGCAACGCTGTACAAAATAGTTCTATGCTCAGTTTGGTGTTATAGGAACAAATTTATACAGTATGCAGTCGAATTACGCAACAGGTGTATAATGTTATGCAATATCTGTAGTCGCAGTTGATCGACTTAAAGAGCATTCTTATTAGTGCCTGAATTCTGCATGCTGCCTAATCATAAATCTCACGTTAAGGCCATGAACATGCAGATTATTCTAGTCAATATTGTGATGCTGTCTGGTCATCCATGCGCAACCGGTTTTCAAATACTACGGAGCCTTGGCTCGCTTATTACCCCACTTTCACAGGCCTATAGAATCAAAGATAATGCACTTTTGTCATATGAACGAATTTAATTACATGTATGAGTCATGGTATGAGTCATGCATGACAGTGTACGTGTAAACTAACACTGCACTGAAAATAACTCATCATGTCATGCACACATTCCATGTGGATCGAGTAATTGCGTATTCACTCCAGTAATTTCGATGTCATGCCAGTCCAAATGAGATCTTCCGATCTTGGCGGAAGTCTTCTTGGGCGGCCTGCCATCAGGCTTTTTAGGGTTCAGTATTCATTTCGCAAGGCGTTTCCTTTATCAATTCGCCTACGGTTTCCTTACTATATCTGTAGCTAATTAGTCTTTTGTTTCCATAGTCTACTTTTTCTCCCAATGTTTTCTTTTCCGTTGCATGGAGGGCTGCGTTTTTTCCAGCTTTGTTAAGTTCCGCTGCCTCCAGGCTTACGTCAATGAAGGAAATATTCAGAATACATACCCTATATGTCCTTCCTCTTAGATCTGTGCTACAGCCAACGTCATTAGCCGCTAATGACAGCGCACAGCACCACTTAATTTCGTTGTTAACTCGTTCGTCGCAACATGCATATGTTCCGGTGGTACTTTTTTCTATGACGTCGCTGATGCCGCAGCTAGGAGAATCTCATCGATCTTCTTTTTGTCCATATGTACCATGCCTTCTGTAGATTTGCTGTAACAGGCACATCAGAACGTCTCTGTCAGACAGTTAAAAACAATAACGTCACTTCTTCGACACTGTCCCTATAGAGTACGATATATTGTTCGAATGCAAAAGAGTTTACGCAAACATGGCTGATATGTATCATCCATAATGGCTATTGGTCAAGCACTCAAACGCTACATATAAAAAAACAATTATTACAGCTTGTTGTCGAAAGATCTAGTAAACTGCTATATTAGTTTATTTTCTTGATCATTCATAACCGCTTTTCCTTTCGAGTCGGTGAGTCAGATGCGTTAGACAATGCTTCCAACGTTCCCGATCCTGTGCCAGAGTCTGAGCTTTGGCAGAAGACAACTGGAGTCTGGAGAAGACTCCTTCCATATATTGGCATCAAGTTAATCTTGGCCGCCCGCTGGGCCTTCTGCCTGTCGGATTTGCAAGGAACAGTTGCTTAGCCTTCCTTTCTGGAGACATTCGCAGCACATATCCAAACCATCGCAGTTGTGACTTCTCAATCTGGAGAAGTAAAGGTTGCAACCCAAGGCTCTTCCGGATGTCACTGTTCCGGACCATGTCGAGACGCGTAAGGCCAGCGATTCTTCAAAGAAAGCCCATTTCAGCAGCATGTACCCGGGTTCGAAGTTTTTCAGTGATGGCCCACGATTCATGACCGTAGTTAGTATGGTGATAAAGATCGACTCGAACACCAAGAACTTAGTTTTCAGACTGAGCTTTGTTTTGTTTTGTTTGTTTTGTTTTGTTTTGTTTGTCACAATGGGTCGGGCTAGTTCACGCAGAACGCCATTGGCTACTCCAATTCGCTGGTCGATCTCTTCCTCCAATTTTCCATCACTAGTAAATACGACTCCGAGGTACTTGAACTTCTCCACTTCCTTTCCGTTAATCTGAAGCGAGCAACGGGCAAATGAAAGAGGTAGCATTAGGCTTTTCGTTTTAGGCACGTTCACACGCATATTGATTAATTAATAATATATGCGAATGCTGATATTTCATGCACCATCGAGACTGCTGATAATTCCTGTGATTATGATTGTAATATATGTTTGATTGACATATTTGCATTACAGGGTGATGCTCTCTTCTGGTATAACGTGATGAAAAGCGGCGAAGTTGACATGTCGATCCAACATGGCGCCTGTCCGGTGCTGTACGGCTCGAAGTGGATTGCCAACAAATGGATTCACGAACGCGGGCAGGAATTCAAACGTCCATGTTCCCTACAGAAACTTGCTTACGAGTAGCGGTTCATTCTTGCGGTAAAGTTTTGTTGTTGTTCTAGTTTGGAAATTGGCATGTTTTGATAATTTTCTTACGACTGTTCGAATTGGTTGCCTGAAACTTTTTTCCTTCAGTGTTTTAAATCAGAAGTACTGTAATACAGGCAGGAAAAACGGACTTTGCTCTATTCCCTTCTCCTTCATCTAGTGTATCGCTTGGAGGATAAGGGCTTCACTCTGCCTTAATGGGTAAAAAACGCTGTATTCAGTGATTTCATAATAGATGCTCATACTAATTTTTCGTCCATACTCGTAGAACGTAATGCAGTTGCGGTAAAGCTTGTTTTGATTGATTGAGATATGTGATGATTGTTTGATTAATATTTTATCATAACTTTTTCGCAATAAGGCACTGAAATAGTTCTCTCTACAAGATACGGTCGAGTTCGGCTTCTTGACAAAGTTAGAGTGTTTCGGCTGGTGGCTGATGACGGAAGGCCTCTGCTGATGTATTCACCATTTCATTGTTCCATATGTGTTCCTTATGTAAAGTCTAAGCTCTGCCTGCAGCTGCACTTTGTCGGCAACCTTATTTAATACATTTGTCGAAGCTGTCTAAACGTCTCGCGTTAGAAAGCTGGACCGGCGTTTTCAAAATTAGGTCAAGATCTATCAGAAATCTGAGTTATGCAAATGACGTAATTATAATACTAACTACGATATCTCCAGCAGAAGTACAAATCATAGAGAAAGTGGGCAAGGTGAATGGACAGTTTGATCTGAAATTCAGCCCTGGCAGAAAATACAATCAAATCAGAGTTATAAACGATGGTGTTGAACTGCGAAGCGCATCATCTTTCACATTTTTGCTCCGTACGGCGACGACAAGACCGATCAACGTTGTAGAACAGCAAGTTCTTGAATGAAAAGACTGACCAGAGTTTAGTGAAGGAAGCTGAAAGTTTGGAAGTTTACAGGGCTGAAGCTTGTCACATCTTTGACCTGGTCTGTCATAGAATATGCATATAAAAATTGAACCATCAAAAGGCAAAACTTGAATGCACTGAAGCGTTTGAGATGTTATATTTCAGGTTACTGTTGTGAATCTCTTGGATACAGATTTTTCGGCCAACAAATCGGAGTCTTCGTACAGTGGAGTACTCAACGCTTGCCTTTTAAGCGCGAATAATTGCACATCGTTTGTATGCAGGATGAGAGTACATTATTTGCTACGATACGGTAGAAGCGCTTACATTTAATGACTTAGCCTAGTCAAATACATTCGATAAAAGTAACGATAACAAACAACAAAATAGCTACAGTGCAGCATAAAGTCATTTCCTATCATTCAGTTCGGTCACGGTCGGTCGAAGGTGCGGTAGGGCAGCACGGGGTGGCAGCGGCAATAATGGCGGGGGGGGGGCGGCGACAGCGGCGTCGGCCATGATGTTGTGATTATGTGCGGCGCGGCTTAGCACCAGGGACCAAGGTCATCATGTTCTCGCTCATCTCGTCACAACTGTAATGTTTGACCGCCGCCTTGACAGCCGCCTTCTTGCCGTCTCGCACCAGAAACGTGCTGCCCGAAACGCGGATCGTCGTATCTCGTGATACGTTAGCATTTAAGTCACTTATGAGATATTCGTTCACAGACATGTGGATGCACGGCAGCCACCGGAAAACGAATTTGAAACCAATTCGGAATCTACAATGGTGACTTTAGTTATTCGTCATCCGGTAATTAATAAATTAGTAATCAAAATCCAAATGAGGCTATTATTAATAGTTTTGCATTTACACGATGTACTGATTATTTTTTTATCCGTCATCCCGATTTGTCATCGCAGTATGTGCGCTAATCGAACATTGTCTGTGATCCACTTTCTGCCCTCACCATTAACCAAGTAAAACGATGATCGAATCAGATCTGATCATCTGACAGCGGATCCGCATATCTTACATGTTTTTCGCTCTATCGCTCTTGGTGTGATCCACACCCTTTTATCCTCAGCTTTCGTAGAAGGTCAATTTTCAGCATCTAAATCACGCCGGATAAGACAGTTGGATCGAACGGTTGTTTCTTCACCCGTATGTGCCGCTCATTGTTCAGTAATGATATTGTAATGCGGCTAAAGCTGGTCCATGCCGCTTTTTTTCTTCGGCTGATTTGCTCGTCTAGCCAAAATATGGAGGGATGATGAGTTTTTCAAATTCTTTGATATTAACCATTGAGCAGTGATTGTTTTGCATGCATTTCTCTTTGGTAAGGTTAATCCTCAAACCGATAGTTGGTAATTTTTTTTACAATACCTTGATGTT